CTTTGCTCTCTTCATCCAAATCATTTCTATAAATCGTAAAGTGTTGAGGCCCCAGTACTGACCCCCATGGCACACTATTTGTGACATCCTGTCAGCCTGAAAAAGACCAATTTGGTCTTATTCTATTTCCTGTTAGCCAATCAATCATTGTTCCATTGATTAACTTGATCGCTGTCCTTTTAAATTTCAAAGCGCTGGGGTCCAGTGGATGTAATATTATGGATGTAATGTTATATCACTAAGTTTATGAAGCTATAATTTAGAATAAAGCTTTTCTTCCAACTGATTCCATTCTTCATTTTGCAAACAGTCATACAACAGTCAGGGGAGGCAATGGCCTAGTGGTATTATCACTGGACTGTTAATCCAGAGACCCAGGTAATGTTCTGATGACCTGGGTTCGAATCCCACCATGGCAGATGGTGGAACTTGAATTCAACAAAGCTATCTGGAATTATGAATATAATGATGACCATGAATCCATTACCGATTGTTGGAAAAATCCATCTGGTTCACTAAGGCCCTTTAGGGAAGGAAACTGCCATCCTTACCTGGTCTGGCCTACATGTGACTCCAGACCCACAGCAATGTGGTTGACTTTGAACCGTCCCCTGCCCAAATTAGGGTTGGGCACTAAGTGCTGTCCCAGCCAGTGATGCCTTCATTCCCCCTGAATGAATAAAGGAAAGGAAAAACAACCTGGCTGTGTGGTTTGGGTACACTATCCCAGGCACAGGGACAAGTCTTGGGTGAGGAACCACAGTCAGAACAACTGTGCCTTTGAAAAGAAGAGGGTGAAAAGAGATGAGAGAATGAAGGCGAGAAAGAAAAGAGGACGAGAGAGAGGAGGGAAGGAGTAAGTTGGAACGAGAAATTCAGGACATTCTCAGATGAAGCAACTGCTTACTTCTGCTTATTTCTTTTCACGTATTTGGGCTTGGTTCAGAAGCAAAGAACACAGATAACATTGATTTCCTTCAGCTTGTAGCAATGTCGCAAGCTGGTATGGCAGGATTTTCCAAAGTGGGGGCTGTAACACCAAATGGTGTCCTGGGGCAATATTCTAGGGCCATGACCTCTGAAGCAGCAACGGCTGCATTGGAAGTCCAACTGAGTGAGCAGTTGCGAGGCAGCTTTAATTCAGCATAACTTTTTCAAACCATTAACGTTGTCTAAACCACACAACCTTGCAACCCGGATCCTGCTGCAGTAAAATGGTAGAGTGGACAAGCATTTAAAAAAGAGCATGCCACCTCCTAAAAACACTCATTATCCTCTATTCCATCCCCACCTCCATTCCCCCCAAACCATGCTCCTATAAGTTTTCAACCATTTCCTCCTCCCCTTAACACTCTTAATCTTCAGTAAGAATTGTATCTCTATTTCTCATCATTTAGGAGATAGTATTGATCAGTCACCGCATTCAAAAATAGTCTTAACTTTGAACAGAGGAACTGTCAGCTGTCCCTTGATTCATGCGTAATACTCGGGATGGTGGGTACAGATGGTCATGATATTTATGTGAATTCATTGTGCCAGCTCCACTTGTGCTTCTATGACAAAAGACCGGCCTTAGCTGAATTGTAGCACTCTGCCAAATTGCTGCAAGTGCATTTTTCTTAATGAAGAAATTTAATTGAGACCCCATCTACTCCCTTCGATGAATGTCAAAGTTCGCTTGTCACTTTTCAGAGAAGAGCAGGGGAGTACTTTTGCAAAAAAATAACTTGTGCATCAATTAATAATCCAAAAAAAGATTATTTGGCTGTTTATTTCATTGCTGTTTGTTGGACCTTGGTGTGTGCAATTTAACTGCTCAGTTTCTTGACACTACAACAGCTTCAGAAGTATGCAATTGACTGTGAAGCATTTTGAACCGTCTTGAGGCTATAAAAGATATAATAAGTTCTCCCTTTAGCTTCAGCAAATTACAGCTCCCATCAGCCTTATGCTTAGCAGAAAATAACTGCAAATCATGTGGAAAACAACGGGCACTAATGAGGAATTAATTTTTTTAAAAGCATCAGTTGGTAAAAGGGGAAAGCAATGTTCCAATCTGTAAGTATGAGTTTCAGTCTCAAGGATCGCAATGTCAGAGGACTGAAGCACAAATATTTTAATTCTGACTTAATTCTGTGGATTCCATAAATCCAAGATGACCCTATTAACCAATGGATGTTACGATAATGGCAGAACCTTAATGCTAATAAATTCTTTGCTCACAGGAAACATGAAATAGAACCAACAGAGCTGCTGGTTATATATTCCAATTTTAACCCCTTCTAAATCAATTTCTCTAAATGTTTCCATCAAAAAATATTTATCGTTTTCCATCAAGAGAGAATGCTACTTTAAGCAGACAGTGATATCTGCTGGTGAACTAATGAGAACTGGATCAGATGTTAAAACCCCAAAGAACAGCAGATGCCGGAAATTAGAAACAAAATCAGAAATTGCTGGATAAATTCAGCAGGTCTGACACCATCTGTGGAAAGAGAAACAGAGCTAATGTTTCGAGTCCAATGACCCAGGTTCTGAAGTAGGTTCTCTGGACCTGAAATGTTAACACACATTGCCAGACTTGCTGGGTTTTTCCTGCAATTTCTGATTTGGTACTGGATCAGATTGGAAAAAAAACATCTGGTTCATTAACGTCCTTTAGGGAAGGAAACTGCCATCCTTACCTGGTCTGGCCTACATGTGACTCCAGATCCACAGCAATGTGGTTGGCTCTGAACTGCCCTCTGGACAATTAGGGATGGGCAATAAATGCTGCCTAGCCAGTGACGCCCTCATCCCGTGAATGAATAAAGAAAAAACATGATGGATTGGATCACCACGGACAAAATTTTGTTTTGCTTGTCAACCAGAAGTCCACGTTAAATATTGGTGGCAGGGAATGGCAAGAAATTGGGCCTGTGGAAGAGGTGGGGCCTTACCAGCATTCTGGAGCACTAGATCACAATTTGTTTTCTGGAATGCTGCTCCCACTGCTTACAAGAACTTACATGGCCAGGCTGTCTGGTAGATTGCAATCAGCATCCTAGAGAGAGTCTTAATTTTCTTTTTAAATTAATTAAGAAACCTGTTGCAGACAGGTAACCGTTCCTCCCCTATCCAGCCTCCCTAAATATGGTTCAGTGCTGTGATGGTGCCAAAACGTAGAAATCCAGATTGCTGTTCTTTCTGAATCAGCAAACAACTTAGATTTTTCATCTTATCTACAGTCTTGTGAGAGACTTGATACCTTGCAAATCTTTGTCATGACTAATACCACGGAGTTTCAAGAGAAATAACAGTCTTGAACTCTGTTGTCCTGCAAAAAAGAAAGTACAAAATTTCTCTCTCTCGCTCTCTTGCATAGAGGTATCAGAAAGTCTCCAGCGACAGCTAGCTGTCTTCCACTCATCTTTTTCAGAGAATACCTTTTGAAGGAGGGATTAAACACCTTCAAAGACAGTGAAATGACACATTCTCAATCAGCCAATGAAAGAGAACATTAGCGAGCAATCTTTTCTCTTGACAAAGAGCTTAGAAGGAATTGAAAGGAAGACGAAGAAAGCAATTCATTGAACCCTGTCGGTTAGACTAGTGTTATTGAACTGTGTCTTCCCGATTTTATTTCTAACCCTTACTATCTATGTCTTGTCTGTTTTTGTGTCTGTCAGTATGTGAGAGGGAGAAACTTAAAAGGGGTGGCATTTCAGTTGTGAAGTTATAAGTTATCAATTCATATTTCTAAATTGTCATTGATTAAAAACAATTTGTTTATAATATAGTTATTTTCTTATTAAGCACAGAAATTTGACAAGTATTTTCATTTATCTGAATATCATTCAGGTAAATTGGGGACTTTGGATAGTTTGGCTATATCTTTTCATATAGATGGAATTGAGCTTTTTATTTCCAGTGCACTACTTCAGTGGGTTACAACAAAATGCAGATTTTATAACACCTTTGGGGAATACCTCCATTCATTCTATAAGTGTCACCCAACACTTTCAACCACCAGTCACTGTAACTCTCAACTTTGCTCTCATTCTGACATATTGGCTTTAGTCTTGCTGCAGTGTACCAATGATGTTTGACATTGAAGAACACCACCATATTTTCTGATTGGGCATCTTACAAACTTCCAGGTTCAGCTGTGTGTTCAATAATTTTAGGTTGTACACCGATTCCAAATTTGTTCCTTTTTTTTGCTGGTTTGTTCTTATTTTAAACTCTTTTCCCTTATTTCATTTACCTTGCTTTCAGACAGCAGCAATTCATAACTCCTCTACACACCTCTTCTGTTTTTGGGAATTTATGTGCAACTTTGAGAGGTTTGCAAGATGATTTGTGGCTAAGGACTAGTGAGTTGTGTAGCCTTAGGCATAAATAGCCATAGGTATAGGGAGGCATGGTATGTGCAAGAATGTATCAGCAAAGTGAAGTATTGGCTTGCAGCTGCTGAGGATGCTTTATTGAAGATAAAAGCCAAATGTGCCCCAGTGTACATCTGAGGTTCCAAAATGACCCCAGAGCCAGGCATGCTGCTATATGTGGAATAACTTGGCAGTAATAAGTGGTAAGTGGGAAAATAGAGCTATCATTGGATTAGAGGGTATTATAGGGGCAGGGTTGGTAGTTGATGAGGCAGGTTTTGGATTATCGTGTGAGAAAATCTGTTGGGCTTCATGGAGAGAAGCTCTATGAAACTTGATGAAAATGACACTTCTCCAAAATACGTTAAGAATCAGCCTCTAGTCTTTACTGTAAGTTTGCAGAATATGACAGATCATAGATGCAGATTTTTTGGGTGATGCTTCCAATTCATTAATACACAATTGTGGAATTAATCCAATTATTTCATGTGCCAGCATTGGGAGAACTGCTATTGTTTTCTTGCTGTGGAAGCCAGTCAGTTTATTTATCTCTAAGATGTCAGCAAACATTATAAATCATTCGAAATAAAATCAAGTATGCGCAGATAAATAATATCACAGCACAGAGTGAAATTTGTTACAATCAATATTTATTGATTAACATTTTTCAAGAAATGCTTAATGCATGACCCTGCTCTGGATAAATCTCAGCACAGTTAGAGCTCATTGAGCTTTGGTTATATTGTGCTTTGAAGCTAGCAGAAGGCATTCCATGTTGTCAGGGTGGATTGATTGGCAATGACATGCTTTCTGAGCTTGCACAGTCTGCTCTGAATTAATCATGCAATTGGAAATATCTGACATCTTTTATGTCCTTCAATTCTTTGGAATTATTTGTATGTGGGTTGCTGTTGGAGGTAAATGCTTGTTTGTCGCAGATAATCCATATAGCTCTTGATATGTTCCCTACAAAAGACAGTCAAAATGAAGGCTTAGGCAGACAACAATCAGATGGTTATATTAGCACAAACCTCACTGAAGGCAAAAAAGAGTTTTCCAAACAAGCTGTAATGTTACGATGACAATCTCCAGATAAAACAGAAATCAACATTGCAATGTATTATGCAAATACACATTTTCGCTGGGTATATTCTGGTATTTACTTCCAACCACATCTTACAATATCCTAAAGTAAACTACAGCAAAATAAATGTCCTAGGACAGGCTTTAATTTTTCTAAAGCTTATCGGGGTAAATTTTGTGATTTTGCTCCACTAGATTGCACTTCAGAAGCTCAAAGGCAGTGGTTTCTTGACCATATAGAGTGCACCTAAATATTCCAGTACATAAATCTGCCTGATATGACCTGAGGAATGATTTTATTCCTTAGAAGGAACATAGCTGTCAGTCTGACTCCGTGCTCAAGAAATTACATGTGGACAAAGGTTATTCACTTATATTATTAATGACAGTTGTTAAGAGAATGTACAAAGAAGGAGGACCTTAAAGTAATGCAAGCTGCAGAAATGATGCACAAGGGACATTTTAGTGAGTTAGACGTGGAGAAAATTTTAATCTGAACATTGCAGCAATTTAATCTTCAATAGAGGAACAATACTTTTGAAAGAAAATTCTCTGTACTACCCTCTCTTAATCCCATGCCCATTTCTAGAGACTACACTTTGACATGGCAGGAAGATTTGAATATCCTTCTGATCCCACGGCCATATGAATATGACTTCCAATGGGGCCACGCAAAACAGCTTGAAAAGGTGGGAGTCAGCAGGAGAAGTTCACTGATTCTGCTAATAGGGGTGTGAATCCAACTCTTACTACATAAAGGTATTCTTAGTTATAAAAATTAACAACACAGTGATGAGACGCAAAAGCAAAATACTGCAGGTGCTGAAAATCTGAAATGAGAGGAAAAATGCTGGAAAATCTCAGCAGATACTTGTGGAGCGAAGCAGAGTTGACATTTGATGCTTCTCCTTGGTTCTACCTGCTCCCACCCTACTTTGGCTGGATTAAAAACTCTTGTATTTCCATTTTCCTTCAGTTCTCGATAAAAGGTTAATGAGTTAACACAATTCCTCGCCATCGATGCAGCTTGAAATACTCATCTCTTTCAGCACTTTTCATGTTTATGCAAGAGATGGTCTGTACAAGTTTGCAACTGTGGAGAGCCATGATGTACTGGATTGAGGCAAGGTGATACTCCAATTGGATTCAATTCACAAACAGAAAGTAACAGCAGAGCAGACAGGCATGGCCCATCATGCTTCAGCTGGCCAATAGGGTTATCTTTCCTAATCCTACCTTGCAGTCGATACTACCTTACGTGGATAACCAAGTACTTTCCAAATGTGATGAAGTTTTCTACCTCTTACCACCCTTTAAGTCAGAGTTCCAGATGCCCACCACTGTCCAGGTGAAAAGATTGCTTCTCAATTCCCTCCATTAACCACTTTAAATCAATTCCTTTCCAGAATTGACCTCTCTTCTAAGAGAAGTAAATTCCTGCTATTTACTCTATTTCGGCCCCTCCTAATCCCCAATATTTCTCAACCTGAAAATTCATATGGTTCAAGATACCATCTTTGTGAAATGAAGGGTTAACTATACATTCACCTTCTGAGCACATGCATAAATAGCTGCGTCATGAAGATGTTGCAACAAGTTGGATGTGGGAGCTGACCATTTAGAGTCTCAGCGATATGTGCTCTCTTTCCACCCATGTATGTAGTTATATTCAATAAAACCTGCTAATGCTCACTGTCCTGAGTGCAGACCTGATATTACTGCAATTTATATGTCAGTGCATGAGCATGAATATGCAAAACAATTGATCTGCCCCGTATTTCAATTTAACACGTGTTATCAGATCTTCAACTCCAGCTCGGAAACAAAATTCAGAAACAACATTAATCTTGAAGCTGACTAGGAGATAGCAAGAACTGCAGATGCTGGAAGTCAAAGTCGATGCAGTGTGGAGCTGGAGGAAGACAGCAGGTCAGGCAGCATCAGAGGAGCAGGAAAGTTGATGTGTCGAGTCGGGACCCTTCATCAAGGGCTGAAATGTCAACTTTCCTGCTCCTCTGGTGCTGCCTGACCTGCTGTGTTCCTCCAGCTCCACACTGTGTTAAACTTGAAGCTGATGACATCTGAGCTGCTTATTGTCACCAGTCACCTTTCACTTGATTTAATGATTTAACTTCCCAAGTTGGACAGCTAATGCAGATTGTGTTAGGAAACAGATTTTTTCTCGCAATTAGAAGTCGTCATTTCCTTTCTGATTTTTGGACAGAATTTTAAGATTTTTGTCCTTCAGCTCCACTTATTTAATGACGGTAATGTCATACACCACCAGGCACAGGAGGTTTTGGCTAATTAATTCATGTACCCATGCCATTGTACTGCATTTGGGGCCAGGAAACCAATGCTTGGAAAAAATAGAGGGTAATTTCCCAACTTCACATTTAGTGACTGAGGGAAAGTGTCTCACAAGAGCTTATGGAATTCACTGAGTCACATTATAGAATTTGGTGGGATAATCAACTTTGGTGTTTTGAGGTCAGTGCTGTAGAGTAGTTCAGCCTCCTGAAATCGCTTTCTTTTGCAGCTAGAAATTAAAATGTCAAGCTTGATCAGGCCAACTGGCCTCACTACAAGTAACATGCACACACTGGCACAAAGCTGCTCTCCTAGCATAACACCAGGGTATCTGCTTTGTTTCATGCAAATTATAACCCATACAAAGCATTTTTATGTGTTTAGCCTGTGTTCCCATTGATCGCAGCTTACCATTCACAACAGGCTATTTCTTTTTAATACAATATTTACATAAAACAACTGATCCAGTACTTACTGTATGACAGATGGATCTGATGCAAAGCTGATCGAACTCAAGCCTATGTAGTACTGTGCTGTGTCTCTCAACGATGTCCAGTATTCACTTGCCTAAATAGCATCAAACACATTCAGCCAAAAAACGGACAATAAACTGAACGATAATAATGCTGCCTAGATTTAAAGGGGCAGCGTACAATTTTTCACACTTACTTTGTATATTTTTTTCACATTTACATTTATCTTAGTTATGTATATTAGCAAGAGGAGAGACCCAGGCTAAAACAAAGCATGTGGGAGACAGGCGTAACCCAGATAAAACCTGAGTTCATTGGGAATCTGAAGGAGATTGAAAGTATGCTGATGATAAACAACGTCTGAATGTGATCCTGTAGGGGAGACAGGAATGGCGCAGGGTAAACCAAGTCTGAATCTGCGGTGAAGAGGGAATAGACTCAAGATTATACTAAACCTGGTTACTCTGGTTTTGGATCGATTACTGAATTTTTGGTATGTCGATTAGACAAGTGGGATAGATTTTTTTCAAATCAACCTGCTTAGAGGCATTATTACACAACTCTGGAGCTTTTGGGACTTAACCCCAGCCTTCTTGCCTAGAGGTAAGGACAACACCACAACAGCCTCAACAAGTGGTTTATTGTATACTAACTACTGTTATATACTAATGTCCTCCATATGACATATGATACTTTCAAGGTCCTGTAGAACGTTAGTTATTGTTCTTTGGATAATTTCCATTGCTGATAAACCAAAATAGGAATTAAGAACATAGTAACAGGAGTAGGCCATTCAGTTTGTTGAGTTTGCCCTGCCGTTCAATATGATCAAGGCTGATTGACCACTTCAATGTCTTTTACCCACTCCATCCCCATAATCTTATATGCTATTGATAATCAAAAATCTGCCAAATGTCTACCTTAAACATACTCAAAGACAGAGTTTCCACAGCCCACTGGGGTAGAAAATGCCAAATGTTCCACTTCCAAAGCTTACAACTATTCCAAATGGTAAACAATTAAGACAACGTCTTCCAAACCATGTAATGAAGGCCATTGGTAATTCTGACATCTCATTCAATGACACCTACCAAAAGCTGATGCTGACAACCAATTTTGTGACCAGGATACTTTGGGAGAAGTTTGCTGAGCTTTCATTCACCACTTCCCTTGCTATGCCCTTATTAAACCCAAACATAAAGAAAGAATCTTGGTAAGTTGAGGAACTGGAATGCACCTCTCTGTAGGCTTGGTGACAGGAGCAATGACTCCTATTTTGGTCATTTCTTCCAACTGCAGTTAGACCTGTTTCATTTGTGAATCTGGTATCTTGTGAGGTCTGAAAAGACACAGGTTTAGCATTTTATCACAAAATAGTGCCATATGCAGCTTTCCCAGAGCAGTAAATCCGCTTAGCAAGTCTTTTCAGATACACCCGGATTCTTGTCGATTAATGTTGTCTACTTTCCTGATAAGATTGAGTTCTGTACAAGCTCTTGCACTTAAAAGCGAGAATTCCTGATTCTGCATAACAATTTACTTTCCCTTGTCCTGGATAATGTCTGAGACTTTCCCTTTATGTTTAGTTTGATCCCAATTGGACTGTGTAATTGGGTCTCCATTGGCTCAAGTGATGTGTTGGTAAACAGGATTGTCTTGTCCAAACAGGTACACTTCCTCCAGTACCTTGTTTAATTTTGATGGTATATCACTGCTACTTCTGTATCTGTGTTCTAGAATACATGGTTGGGGTCAAGGGGCTCACCAGAAAGAAAAAACAGTTCCTCTTCTGGTGGAAAATATTCAACTTCATTGATAGCTCTATGTGTGATGGCATTGTCTTTGAAACCTGAAAAGGTAGAAGTTCCAATCCAGTACGTAGTCTCAAAATCATAGAATCCCTACAGTGTGGAAGCAGGTCATTCGGCCCTTTGAGTCCACACCGACCCTCTGAAGAGCATCCCACCCAGACCCACTCCCTTCCCGTACTCCTGTAACCCTGCATTTCCCATGGCTAATCCTCCCAACCCACACATCCATGGACACTATGGGCAATTTAGCATTGTCAATCCATCTAACCTGCACAACTTTGGACTGTGGGAGGAAACCGGAGCACCCGGAGGAAACCCACACAGACACTGGGAGAACTTGCAAACTCCAAACAGACAGTCGCTTGATTGTGGAATTGAACCCAGTCCCTGACACAGTGATGTAGTAGTGCTAACCACTGAGCCAACGTGCTGCCCAAAATGGTAAATTCTTCTCCAAAAAAGTATTCTGTAAAGTTTACAGGATTCTGTTCGTGCTTGTGGGACTTCTTTTATATTCCTGTGCCTAATGAATTTCATGGCCTAAAGCTGCAAGTTTCCTGAGCCAAGGTTTTTCTTCAGCAATCACATTAGCCAATCTGATTAAGAGTTCTGTTTGCCTCAGCAGTTAGATTACTTTTTCTAAGGTGTTGCCTTCTTTGGATTGTATTAAGTCTGATAGGGATTTGTTTGCAATACAAACAGCAATGTGGCCTCTCCTCAATCCTGTGTTTTGGTCTTCATACTTACATCCTTCAACCAGCCTGTAAATGTCATTAATAAAATGATCTACTGGTTCACCTGGTCACTGGATTTTTCTTTCGACTTCTCCCTTTCCAGAGTCCAATTGTTCCTCAGATTAAAATTGCTGTTGAAGGTTTTTACAACTTCTTCAAGTGTACCTGAGGTCTCACCAATGACCTGTCTTGCAATAACTTTTTCTGCTACCTTTCCAAAGGAACAAAACAAGTTCAACACTGCTCAGCTTCAGATTTACTGTCTAATCCTGAAACAATTCACAATCTCAATTTTTTTTTCTCTCTCTCCAACGTGCTCACAGCAGGAATGCTTTCAGGGTGCACAGTCTTTACCGCATCCAGTGTGTTCAATAATTTCTTCATATCACATGGGAAGGCCAATTTTGACAGTATTAGGCAAGAACTTTCAAAATTTGACTGGGGGCGGATGTTCGCAGGTAAAGGGATGGCTGGAAAATGAGATGAGAGTCCAAAGACAGAATATTCCTGTTAAGATGGAAGGCAAGGCTGGTAGGTGTAGGGAATGCTGGATGACTGGAGAAATTGAAGTTTTGGTCAAGAAAAAGAAGGAAACATATGTCAGGTATGGACAGCAGAGATCGAGTGAATCCTTAGAAGGGCATAAAGGCAGTAAGAGTATTCTTAAGAAGGAAATCAGGAAGTCACAAAGGGCACATGGGACAGCTTTGGCAAATAGGGTTGAGGAGAATCCAAAGGGATTTTATAAATATAATAAGGACAAAAGGGTAACTAGGGAGAAAATAGGCTCCCTTAAAGATTAGCAAGGCTACCTAAGTGTGGAACTGCAGGAGTTGGGAGAGGTTCTAAACAAGTATTTTGCATCAGTGTTTACTGTGGAGAAGCATATGAAAGATATAGAACATGGGAAAATAAATAGCGACATCTTAAAAATGCCCATATTAGACAGGAGGAGGTGCTGGATGTCTTAAATTGCACCAAGGTGGATAAATTCCCAGGACCTGATCAGGTGTACCTTAGAACTCTGTGGGAAGCCAGGGAAGTGATTGCTGGGCCCTTGCTGAGATATTTGTATCATCAATAGCTATAGGTGAGGTGCAGGAAGACTGGAGGTTGGCTAACATGGTGCCACTATTTAAGAAAGGTGGTAAGGAAAAGCCAGGGAACTATAGACCTGTGAGTCTGACATCGGTGATGGGTAAGTTGTTGGAGGGAACCATGAGGGACGGGATTTACATGTATTTGGAACAGCAAGGACTGATTGAGAATCGTCAACATGGCTTTGTGCATGAGAAATAATATCTCACTAAATTGATTGAAGTCAAAAATCACATGACACCAGGTTATAGTCCAATAAGTTTATTTGAAATCACAAGCTTTCGGAGCACAGCCCCTTCATCAGTACAGTGACAAAGGGGCTATGCTCTGAAAGCTTCTGATTTCAAATAAACCTATTGGACTATAACCTGGTGTCACGTGATTTTTGACATTGCCCACCCTAGTCCAACACTGGCACCTCCACATCATAACTTGATTGAGCTTTTTGAAGAAACAAAGAAGAGTATTGATGAGTGCAGAGTGGTGAACATGATCTATATGGACTTCAGTAAGGTGTTCGACAAGGTTCTTCATGGTAGACTGGTCAGCAAGGTTCAATCACATGGAACACAGGGAGAACTAGCCATTTCAATACAGAACTGGCTCAAAGGTAGAAGACAGAGGGTGGTGGTGGAAGGTTGCTTTTCAGACTGGAGGCCTGTGACCAGTGGATGCCACAAGAATCGGTGCTTGGTCCACTATTTTTTGTCATTTATATAAATGATTTGGATGTGAACATAGGAGGTAAGGTTAGTAAGTTTGCAGATGACACCAAAATTGGAGGTGTAGTGGACAGTGAAGAAGTTCCTTTCAGAGTACAACAGGATCTTGATCAAATGGGCCAATGGGCCAATGGGCCAAGGAGTGGCAGACAGAGTTTAAGTTAGATAAATGTGAGTTGCTGCATTTTAGAAAGGCAAATCAGGGCATAACTTATACAGTTAATAGTAAGGATCTGGGGAATGTTACTGAACAAAGAGACCTTGGAGTGCAGGTTCATTACTCCTTAAAAGTAGAATCAAGGGTAGACAGGATAGTCAAGAAGGCGTTTGATATGCTTGCCTTTATTGGTCAGTGCATCGAGTATAGGAGTTGGGAGGTCATGTTGCGGCTGTTAAGGGCATTGGTTATGTCACTTTTGGAACACTGCGTGCAATTCTGGTCTCCCTGCTATAGGCAGGATGTTGTGAAAATCGAAAAGGTTCAGAAAAGACTTCCAAAGATTTAGCCAGGGTTGCAGGGTTTGAGCTATAGGCAGGGGCTGAATAGTGTGGGGCTATTTTCCCTGGAGCATTGGAGGCTGAGGGGAGAATTTATAGAGGTTTATAAAATCATGAGGGTCATCAATGGGGTGAATAGCCAAGGTCTTTCCCCTGGGTAAGGGAGTCCAATACCAGTGAGCATAGTTTTAAGGTGAGAGGGGAAAGATTTAAAAGGGACCTAAGGGATAA